CCAAGTCCTTCTGATTCTTCCTTTTTAACTTGCCTTAGATTTATCCCCTTAGGTCAGCTAGGAAGGAAGGGAGGGAGAAAGGGGGGGAGGGAAGGAGGGAGGGGAGAGGGGATGGAGGGGGGAAAGGGGAGGAGAGGAAGAGAGAGAGGAGAGAGAAGAGAGAGGAGAGAGGAGGGGAGGGGCTACATTACCAACTGGTAGACTACCAAGCTCAGAAAAAGGGGCATATGAAGTTTAAAGGAAAAGTAAACCCTTGATAAGTAGATGCATTGGGGAGATGTTTAAAAAGAGAAAGATACAGTCAAATAGGAAGAAACTACAGAGAAGAAACATGCCAAGCACAGCTAATAGGCTTCTTTGGCTTTAGCATAAAGTATATAAATGGTTGATTGATAGAATGTCAGGCTAGAAAGATTGTTTCATGTCAAACAATCTGGGAGTAGGGTCTGTTGAGATGACTCAGCAGGTAAAAGTGTTTGCTACCAAACCTGACAACCTGAGTTCAATTCTTGGTACCCACATAATGGAACAAGAGAATTGAGGCCTGTTTATCTTCCTCTGACCTCCACATGCTCACTGTGTCACACATGTGTACTCACATCCATAGGACACAGACACACACAGAAGAGGTAAGTAAATAAATAAATGTAATGAAAGTAATTGTTTACTCTGTGACTGGGCTGTGAGGGAAGCTCTGAAAGTGAAAGGAGGATCAGAATTTCAAGGTCATCCTTAGTTACATAAAGAATTGGAGGCCAGCCTGAGCTACCTGAGACCCTATCAGGAAATAAATAAATAATAAATTTTGCAATTTATTTGCACAGTTTATTTTAATCAGTTTTATTAAAGTAGGATCGTCATATAATTTGCCCTTTTTAAGTATACAGTTCCATGGATTTGACAAATGTTTACAGTCATTTAAACAACACAAAATGTAAGTTTCCCTATCTCCTAAAGAGTTACCTTGTGCTTTGGTTTTCTGTTTTGTTTTGGTTTTATGTGTATGAGTATTTTGCCTGAATGTACGTAGGTGCACCACATGCATGCAGTGCTGGCAGAGGCAAGAAAATAGCATCAAATCCCCTGGAACTGGAGCTACAAACAGTTGTTAGCTGGGAACCAAGCCCAGGTCTTCTACAGAAACAGCCAGAACTCTTGACCACTGAGCCATCTCTCCAGTCCCATTGTTTTTGTTTGGTTGGTTTGGTTTAGTTTTGGCTCCTTTTTTGTTGTTGTTGGTGGTGGTGGTTTTGGTTTCATTGGTTCAGCTTTTTAAATATTTTATTATTTTTTGTTATGTGTATAAATGTATTGCCTGCATGTGTGTAAGTGCACCCATGTCATGCAGTACCCATAGAGGTCAAAAGAGGGCATCAGATCCCTTGGAACTGGAGTTACAGATGGTTGTTAGCCACCATGTGGGTGCTGGGAATCAAATTTAGGTCCTCTGCAAGAGCAGCCAGTGCTAACCACTGAGCCATCTCTCTAGCCCCTGGTTGTTTTTTTTTTTTTTTTTTTTTTTTTTTTTAAGACAGAGTCTCCCTGTTACTCCAGCTAGCCTGGAACTCACTATGTAGATCAGGCTGGCATTGATCTCACAGATCTATCTGCCTCTGTCACATGGGTACAGGGATTAAAGACATGTGCCACCATGCCTGGCTTTGGTTGTCCTTTTTTTTCCTTTTAAGATTTACTTTTTGTGTGTGTGTGTGTGTGTGTGTGTGTGTGTGTGTGTGTGTATGTGTGTCTGTCTGTCTGTCTGTGTCTGTGTGTCTGTGTGTGCATGTGCCCATTTGGGGGGAGGGGAAGGCAGGAGGCCAGGAGAAGGCATTGGATCCCTTGGAGCTGGAGTTATAGGCATTTGTGAGCTGCTTAGTTTGAGTGTTGGGATCCAGACTCCAGTCCTCAGAACAGAGCAAAAACTCTCTTAACTGCTGAGCCATCTCTGCTACCCATGTGCTTTTTTTTTCTTTTGGTTAGTCCTATCTCCATGAGCTCTTCTCACAACAATTGATCTGTTCTCTGTTCCTATAGCTTTGCTTTTCATAGCATTTAATATAAGTGAAAGGATAAGTTATATAGTCCTTTGTATGTGATATCCTCCACTCAGTCTATTGTGGAAGAAAGACTGTTTTAGAAAAATACTTCAGCCTTCTGTGTATGATCAGTTGGAGATGTGTCAGAAAACAGATGGGTTAGAAAATCAGTGCCATTTTAAGAATGGGACAGCGAGAGCGTGAGCCAGGTGGGAGTGTAAGAATGAAAAGTGTCAGGAAATTTTCAGGGTATAATGATGGCAAAAACTAAACAGATATGAGGAAGAAGAGAAATGGGGAGACAGGAGGTTGTGGTCAGAAAGAAGAGTACTGGCAAGTGTGAGATCAGAAGAAGAAACCGTCAGGAGATCAAAAAGTGCAGTGGGTGTAGAGGTGAGGGGAGGCTCCTTTGGAAGGAGGGCTGGGAACTGTCCTGGTATCTGTGTGTGATGTTCCCTGATGTGGATGTTGGTATTATGAAGGACGATGGGGAGAGATGAAACTACAATCCTATATCCATCCTACACAGGAAGACAGAACCATCTATGAGTTATTATGAACTGGAGAAACGCATTGGGCAGGTGAATGATGTGGTGGTATGTGGAAGGGGAAAGGCTGTTGTAGTTTGGCAGTAGATCAAAGGCTGCAAGCAGCAGAGATGTGACTCGTGTGTGTGTGTGTGTGTGTGTGTGTGTGTGTGTGTGTGTGTGTGTGTGCGCGCGCGCGCGTATTTAAATGGTAGGGATACTGCCAACATAACCTGGAATGGCTGGACTCAGGATTTCTCTTGCTCAGCTTCCTGAGTGTCTGGTACTACAGGCACACCTCTGTTCCTAGGTCATCTTATTCTTTCTTCCTAGTGCTGTTCAAGCCCTAACCCCCGAACGTGATATTTGGAGATGAGGCTTTTGGAGATAATAAGTTCAGGTGAGGTCTTAGCATGGAGACTTCCTCATGGAACTAGTGCCCTTATAAAAGACAGCAGAAAGCCTGCCATCTCCCTCTTCCATTCGGAAGATTCAGCAAGAAGGGACAGTCCAGGAGTCAGGAAGCTGGCCCCTTGATTTGGACTTCTGTTTTTTAAGCCACACAGTCTGTGTTTTGTCCTCGCAGCCCCCGCTGACTGTGACACTGAGAGGGCACTGGAGGTGCTAGAAAAAAAGAGCTCCCATTAGAAACTTTTGGGGGATGGTCACAGATTGGGGAAAAGCTAACCTGCAGTTAAATCACAGAGTTCCTCAGAAAACAGAATGAAGAGGAGGGTGGGGGGAGAGCTATTCACAGTGGAGCAAGGATACAGAATGAAGATTTGGGAATTCTCAAGTTAAAGCCTGCATCTTCTTTCATTTGTCTGGGGAGGAGCTACTTGATTTTTGGCAGTGCCCTTTTACTTTTCCACAGATGCACCATTTAGGATTTAAAGTTTTCTACATACAAAGCAGTGCTGTGTGTGGGCTGCAAAACAGTGTCTGAATTCAGGCTCCATCTTACCTTAGTGTCTGTGTGACACTGAGCAGCTCTTAACCTTTTGAGTCTCGTTTTCTCACCTGCATCTTTAACATGGAGACAGTACTTCTTCCTGTCTCATAGGATTATCGTGTAGATAAGTGAGTTGTATGCATAAAGTGCTGCCAAGAGAGTGCGCGGTACCAGGAGGTTATGCCAAAGGATCACTTGAGCCCAAGTGTTTCAGACCAGCCTGGGCAACATTCATGAGACCTAATATCAGACAACACCAACAAATAATATCAAATTGATTCATTAATTAAAAAGTAAAATACTCAGAATTTGGCCTGACTCACAGTGGGGATTCTGAATAGGAATGTGTTTGATGGCTTGTTTGTTTGTTTTTTGGTACTGGGGATTAAACTTTACTCAGGCTAGAAAAGTGGTCCATTTCTGGACCACAGTATTAAGACTGGTGATTGCAATTATGTTCATAATGACCTTGACATCTGCTGTAATTTGTCTTCTGTTCCTGTGATTAAAATGACCAAAAGCAACTTGGAGAGGGAGGAAAGGTTTATTTCATCTTTTAGGTTACAGTCCGTCATCGAGGGACACCACGGCAGGAACCTGGAGCAGAGACTATGGAGGAACACTGCTCACTGGCTTGCTTCCCATGCCCTGCTTGGCTGCCTTTCTTTCTCTTTAGCCCAGGCCCACCTGCCCAGGAATAGCACCACCCACAGTTGGCTGGGCCCTCCTACATCAATTAGCATTAAGAAAATACCCCACAGACATGCCTTTCCCCCACAGACATGCCCACCCACAGGCCAATCTGATGGCAACAATTCCTCAATCGGGATCCCTTCTTCCCTGGTAGAGTTTTGTATCAGGTTGGCAGCTGAAGCTAACTATACCATCTAACCATTTGCTGAAGCCAAAACCCTGTGATAGGGAACAGTAGTACTCACAAATAAAAACAAGTCAGCATTCATATATACCTGGCACTGTGCTAGGCCCTTCATGTGCATGGCCTTCTTCAGTTCTCCATACTATAAGGCAGGTGTATTATCCCCACTCCCCAAATCCTCTCCTGTGTGGTGCCTTCTCACCCCCGGGCTTACTGGAAATGGGGTCACTGGTAAAGCGACTTCAAAGTAATCTTGTTTCAAAACCTTCCAAGTTCAATGAAGGTGTACTGTGCTGCCCTCACCCTTTCCTTCTGTTTGGATCCAGCAACACATGTCAAACTGCTTTCTAAACTGGGGTCTGGAAGCACTCTAAGAACTCAAGTCATTAGTGTAAATAGTATAGTTGATTGAATATGCAAACTGAATCCTACAGTGGTTTCTCATGCTGGAGATGAGGAGAGGAACCACAATTACAGTTCATTTAAAGACTAGATAATAACCTGCTCAGCCACATCCAGCTCATTATGCAGTCCTGTCTACAAAACTGATCGTATTATTTTTTCCATCTCTGTTGACTGCTTTGTTTATATCGTCTGTCTTTCCTTAGAATTTCCAGATGATGTTAATCCGGTTACCAAAGAAAAAGGTGGACCCAGAGGCCCGGAACCTACCCGATATGGAGACTGGGAGCGAAAAGGACGCTGCATTGATTTTTAAGTCACTCGTTCTTGAACTTAAGATTCATTTTCTGAATATGTGCATCTGAATTACTTATTTCCAATTATTTTCTTGATACCCTTTAAGTCATCTAATTTCCATTATATATTTGAAGAAAGCATGCTGCTGTAGATTAGAAAGGGGAAGGTATTTTTACATTAGCACATTAACTTTAATTCCAATGAATTGGACATAGAGAGTATGGCGAGATCTGCAAGCCTTCACCACACCAAATGCAACTTCAGCTGCTGTTTATAAAACGCACATGTAAAGAGAATACTTTTTAAAGTGTGTTTGTTTGTGGATTTTTTGAGAGAGGGTCACATTATGTAGCCCTGGCTAGCCTGGGACTCACTATGTAGACCAGTCTGGTCTCAAATTTATAGAGATCTGCTTGCCTCTGCCTCCTGAGTGCAGGGATTAAAGGCATGCACCAACATACCCCACCCTACTTTTACTATTTTTAATTATGTGTAAATCTGTTGCGGGGGGTTATATATGTGAGTGAAGTTGTCAGAAGAGAGTGTCAGATCCCTTGGAGCTGGAGTTACAGACTATTGTGAGCCACCTGATGTTGGTGCTGAGAACCGAACTCTGGATCCTCTACAAGAGCAATATATACTCTTAACCCCTGAGCCATCATCCCTGCCCCAATAAAATAATTTTTGAATGATTGTTGCTGTTCCTAGGTAATAATGACTTAATTTTCTAAAATTCTTGACGCTGGAGAGATGGCTCAGCAGTTAAGAGCACTGGCTGCTCTTGTAGAGGATCCAGTTTGGTTCCCAGCACCCACATGGTAGCTAACAACTGTCCATAACTTCAGTTCCAGGGGATCTGATGCCCACTTCTGACCTCCGCAGGCATGGCAGGACAGGAGTGTACTTATATACAATCAGGCAATACACTCATACATTTAAAATTTTTTTTTCTTTTTGGTCTTTTTTGAGACAGGGTCTCCCTATAGCCCTAGCTGGCCTGGAACTCACTATGTAGACCAGGCTGGCCTTGAACTCACAGAGATCTGCCTGCCTCTGCCTCCCAAGTGCTGGGACTAAAAAAAAAAAATTAAGTACTATAGTATAGTTTATGACAGCCACAGTAATGATACAAAATCTTTGAAGAAGATTGTGAAGCCATAATGCTTAAATTCAAATCCTGGACCCACTACTTAACTATCTCTGTAACCTTAAGTAAATTATTATCTCTGTGTTTTTGTGTCCTTTTGTGTAAATTGGAGCTGGTGATCCAAGTTTGATGGCAAGAGAAGAGATGACACATTGCGGCAAGCAGAGAGGGCTGGAATCCTACTTCCTCTGCTTTTGTGCATTCGGCCCCTATGCATGCTGCATGAGGTCCAAGCACATGTGGAGGACAGTTTACTGTGGCTACCAATTCAAACGTTAATCTCAGGCTAGGTGTGGTGGCACAAGCCTGTCCCATCTGCTAAGGAGGCTGAGATGGGAGGGTCACTGGAGACTGAGTTTGATTATATTTATTTATTTATTTAGTGTTTGTGTGTATGTGTATGCACACCCACTTGCACATGCCACGGCATGCATGTGGAGACCAGAGGACAACTTGTGGGAGATGATTCTCTCCTTCCACCATGTGGATACCAGGGATGGAATTTAGGTTGTCAAGTTTGGCAGCAAGCATCTTTACCTGCTGAGCCATCTCGATGACCCTGAGACTAAGTTTGACAAAAAACCCTGACAGCATAATAAGATCATTTCCCTAAAAAAAATAAGAAAAGACCCCCCGCCAAATGAAATAGTAACTGCATTCAGAAACACCCTCATAGACACCCCAAGGCAATATTTAATGTTGGCACCCAGTGGTCTATTCAGATGGGCACAAAATCAGCCACCACAGCATGTAAGCCACTTGCAGTGCATAGCCCACACGTCCTGTGTCAGCTCTCTTTAACCCATGAATGTATTTTTCCAAATCAGTAGGCTTCCTGGGGGAATGATTAACAAAACCAAAATTTGAAATATTCGAGTTAAAATACTTTTATATGAATACATTAAGAATCATTAGTTAAAAAATAATTTGGGTTGGCAAAATGAAATATATATTAGTTGGTGAAACATAAAATTTAGATGTAGCAAGCAAGTGTGAAAAAAATCAGAGGATGGACAGTCCATTTAGCCCTTTTTGGTGACAGAACAGCTCCCACCCTGTGGCCTTTTGAAAAGTGGGTCAGGAAGAGTCAGATGCAGTCAGATTTGAAAGGAAGGGGTGACAGGCTCCCCAACAGCACCTCTGCATTCTCTGTTGCAGAGGATGGGCTTTTAGTACCCAGGCTACTCAAGTTGCTTAGGAAGAAAGGGTTTGTGGAGCCTGCTGAAGACAAAATGTAGGGGCTGACAACTGATGTGAACTGTAAGCACAGTATTAATTGGAGGAGACTGTAGTAGACCTGCTGACCAGGATAAACGTTTTAAGTGAATTCTCTCCAGAAACTAACCTGCTTAGAGTTTGCCATTTGCCTTTTTATCAAATGCCAACATTTTCTCTTTTCCTTGTGTATGCTGCTAAGTAATAACCACATTTGAAAATATTCTGTAATGTAGTCAACCTCCAGTTAGCCTAAATTAGTAAACATTTACAAAGTTAACACTCTGAAAATAATGTTAAATTATCTTGAATTAATAGTAAAAGACAAAAGTCAAAACTTTACTGTTTTACACTATGGATCATGATATGTGGTAAAGAAAATTCAGTTTGTATGCTTTGCAGGGGTGGGGAACAGGTCTTTTTATGAGATAGCATCTCCCTATAGTCCCAGCTGGCCTGGAACTCATTATGTAGAGCAGACTGGCCTTGAACTCACAGAGATCCACCTACCTCTGCTTCCCGAGTACTGGGACTAAAGGTATGTACCACCACGCCCAGCCAGTTTTTATACTTCTAAAGCAAGTGTAAAATATATAGCAAGCAAAGTTGCAAGATAATAAAATCATTAACTTTGTTAATAATCGTTAAGTATGACTATAGAGTGACAGCGAAGGATGGAAAGGAAGCTGACACACCTTACCTTCAGGAGTGAGCTTTATTAGAGAAAGGACCTCATAGTCCATGAACAGGCCTAGAGGTGGGAGGAAGACATTGGACAGAAAATGGTACAGTATGTGGGAGAGGCAAACATAATGGGAGTGGGTGGGGGAATAAATGAAAGGAGGGGACTTCCCTTTAAAACCAGGAGAGGAACTTCACTAAGAGAGAAAGAAAGACAGGAAGGGAGGGAGGGAGACAGAGACTGACTCTTGTCTTGACATCTTTTTCATACTTACTGCTTTGGTTGAACTGAATCGTGTCCAGCATTTTTCCTTACTTTGATATCTGTTGCCGGACCTACCACGAGTCAAAATATAATACTGCCTACCATTGAACTTGTAAGAGCAAGCCTAAAGCCGAGTTTCTTTAGTAAATAAATGTTCATTGAATGAAAAGATTAGTTTAGGGCTGGCGGGATGGCTCAGGGTGTAAAAGCACTTGCCACACAAGCCCAGTGACCACAGTTCAAATCCTGGAATCCACATAAAGGTAGAAAGAGAATAGCCTGCCAAAGTTGTCCTCTGACCGCCACACGTGTATTGTGGTTTACATGCACCTGTTCCCCACCACACTATTAACAAATAAAAGTTAAATTAGTTTACAGTAGAAGAAAACTTTGTAATAGCAATCATTAATCATTTGTTATCAATATGAGCATTTCATAGTAGGACTGAACTTCTAAGTACTGGATAAGTATGGCAGTGAGCTATTCATTAACCGGTGCTGACTGATCAGGTAGTATGAGAGGAAGACCAGAGTGCCTGACAAGTCGATTTGATCATCTAATCAGTGCCGATTGTCTTCAGTGTGCTAGAGATTCCGCTGGGCTCCATGTTTCTGGTGATGAGTGGAACAGAGCTCTAGACACCTGACTTAAAGTCTGGTGTGTTTGATTCACACATGAGAATGAGTACAGGGAAAACTGACCAAAGACTGTGCAAACACATTGCAGTGACTCCTTCACTTCAGACAGCCAAAGCCAGGGCTTTTGGTATTGTATGACTCTTGGGTTTTCACCTTTTAAAATCTGACTCTCTGGGATATGTGTTAAAGCAAATATTCATTACATGATCAACTGTATTCTGATCTTACCATATATAGGCCTTCAGGAATATTAATCATGAAGGTAAGAGTGAACAGTGATATAATTGAAACTCCTAGAGAGATATTCCTAAAGTATTCCTGACTCAAAAAGAACTTTTTTTTTGGGGGGGGGGGAATGGGTATTTCTTTGCACAACCACTAGAGCTCATACTTCAGTAAGCTAGGACTTGATGCTGTGAATGAATCCTAAAGATCATTGAACTATCCATGAATGTGAGCTTTGTTCATTGCTATAAAGAAATACCTGAGGCTGGGTAACTTGTGGAGAAATTTATTCTACTTCTAGCTTTGAGAGAAGAAACACAAAATAGTTGGCACTGGCTCTAGAGAGGACCCCCTGCCTCCATTGCCTCATGGCAGATGGCATGGGGAGAGTGTGTGCACATGGGGGAGGAAGAGATCTGTGGTGGTTTGAATGAACATGTCCCCCATAGCCTCCAAGTATTTGGACATTTTTGTCCCTAGTTGGTGGCACTGTTTTGGGAGGCCATGCTGGAGGAAGTACGTCACTCGGGGAGGGCTTTGAGAGTTCTTAAGCCTTGCAGGATCTCCAGTTGCTCTCTTGCTTCCTGTGCCAGCTTGAAGATGTGAGCACTCTGCTTTTGCTCCTGCTCCAGCCACTTCTGCCACCAAGACGAACTGTAATTCCCCTGGAACTGTAAGCTCAAATAAACTCTTCCTTTTATAAGTTGCTTTGGTCAGTGTTTCTATAACAGCAACCGAAAAGTGACTAATATAAAATCCCACAGCCAGATAGGAAGCTTCAGTGGGAGCCACAAGAACTATGTTAATCTCTGGTTAGGGTATGCCATCCAATGACTTAAGTACCACTCACTGGAACATACCTTTTAAAAGGACCCATCACCTGTTAATATCACCATCCTAATGATATCTGGGAACACATGAAACCTTAGAGGACAACACTCAAGCCATCAAGCCATATCTGAACCCTAGCAGATGATGTTAAGGAACTAGGAAATGGTGTGATTATAAGGTTATATTAGGTCTCTGTCTTCTAGATACTTTGTTCTAGGTAGTCCACAAAAGCTTTTTGGTTGTAGAAACAGACATCTGTTCATCTTACTCTGACAGACTCTTGTCTTTGGTTCACACATAGACTG